ATATGCTATGTATATTTAATCATTATCAAAACTTACTAAATTAAAATGGTCATTGGGGCGTTTTTTTGTGGCTTTGTTCCGAAAGCCTTTACGAGTATTTTCAATTTGCGTGGCATGCTTTTAGACGCGCACGTTTTATACTCCTCCTATTTATATCAATCTATATTACTATTTTGTGTGAGTGTGTCTATGTTTGAACGGCATTTAGTTTTGTTTGGCCACGCTTTTGGAGTGGAAATCGGGGAGGGCTTTCCGTATGAAATGTTTGTGAGCGGCGCTTGTGTTTGGAATATTGATTAAAGTGAAGCGCCGTCTCGAAACAAAGGGCAGCAAAAGCAAAAATTGAAATGGCCAACAATTGCAAGTTGGCATTTAATGCTGATTGTTCACATAAAAGCTTAAACAATTACGTCAATTCAGGGGTGGCATTTTCTGGCAATCTTTTATATATGTGTCCGTTATTTGTTTTGCGCAAAGTGAGGCAATTTGTTTTGGAATTGGCGGGAATGCGAAATGCGTGTATAATTAAGCGTAAATGTGCTGAGTTTAAAGTTAAATGATGAACGAATAAAACATTGACTAAATCATTTTTGTTGCGCAAACTGTGCCCCCGAAGGTTGACGGTCGACGGTTGACGGTCGACGCACAGCTCCCAACTGGCCAACTCCCGGCTTTAGGCTACCCATTAGGATACGCTCTGAGGCGCTCGTTTGCGCATCCTGCCGTTTAGCCTGGCTTTCAGCAGCAGTAGCAGCAGCAGCGCCAAGGAAGTTGTTTGTTAAACTCAGACACTGCCTGCCTTTGGCGTCGCACGCCTCTCTTCACCGGCGCTCCATTAAAAATGCATTTATCATTTGGCATTTGAAAAGCTTCCTTCCTGTTGGCAGGCGACTGACACCTAAGACCAGCACCACAGCCTTTTCCATCTCCGGCTATAACAGTCTACTCTCGGCTATCCCCCTCCCTCATTTAGTCCAAGAGCCGCAGCAGTCTAAGCTGCAGCCTTTTTTCAATGTTGTCTTTTCTTTTCTTTTCTGCTCTTTTCTTTTCTTTTCTCAACTCGTTGGGTGCGGTACAAATTGTATTTGTTTTCCCAAAAACTTCACAAGTGCGCTGCGAAATTTGCGCAAATTTAGTTTGCAAAAGTAAAAACTAAACACACACGCAACCACACACATGCACAGATGCATGTGTGCGCGTGTGTGCTGTTGTGCACTTGAGCTGAGCGAAGCTTGGGCATGTTTAAGCGTTAAACTGTTACTTCCACATGCGCGCGCACTTAGCAAGGACGAGGCCGGAGATGCAGAGACGTGGTTGTTGCGGCGGTCGGACTCCAGCTGGCCATCAATGCAGTTTTAACTAAGAGCCAAGACAAAGGCGGCCCAAAGTGTTCATAAAATGTTCGAAGCCATAGACGAGGCACAGTTCCAAAGCCAAAGTGAAAGCGCTCCGCGTCCTGTGCCCCTGAAGTAGGTCAGCAGTAAACACACAAAAACTCTTTCTCACACACACATAGAGCATATGGCGCCGCATTGTAAATTGCGGCCAACGTCAGGTAAAAGTTACCATCGTGTTGTGTATGCCACCGTGTGTGTGTGTTTATGTGTGTGTGAGGTCTACATGTCCTGTAGTTGCCATTCATGTGCAGCCGCATTGCAGCCCCTGCATAAATTTCATTAGATTTTAGCTGAGGGCTCTCTGAGCTGTCCCATTGTTTCCCAAACAGAATTTTATGTGAAATCAATTGGCTTTCAATGCCGCCGTAAAGAAAGAAGTGAACAGAATCACAAGGCGAGAGGCGAACAGAGCATCGTAAATGCCCTTCTAATGAAGTCATAAAGAGCCGTCGACAAGTAGATGTCCGTGCGTTCCATTAAGCGCACCTTGCGCCTAGAAGTAAGCTAATAAACCTAAGCCATGCCCCATCATGAAGTTGCCCATAAAAAAAACATAAACAACTCTGCGCCACCTTTGAAATGCTCTTCAAGCGAACCAGCAAAGTATTTGAAAAGCTATACAAAATATAATTAATTTCAATGAGATTAATTGACCCTCTTTTTAGTATAAGTAACTTCCTCAATTAGCAGTACTTCTTCTTCTTAGTCTATTTAAGTACACCTCGAAATGCACTTATTTTCAATGCGGCTGTAACACGGTTGCCAAGCTAATCTGCAGTATAAATGGTATAAATGGTCTTTTGGGCTCGAAGGAGTCTGCACCATTACATTTTATACACTCTCCAATACCCACTGGCTGCTAACCATAAAAAGCAAACGGGGCCAAGTGGCTGGCAAAAAGTATTTGCTCGCTTTAGCGCAACTTTACGTATTACGCATATCGTATACGTAACGTGAGTTGTGTGGGTCAAAGGCACAATGATAATGATGTTGGCTGTGTGTCTAGATGGCTTTGCGAGAACGACCAGCAAGAGGATGAAAAGACTTGCGACTTATGGTTGACAGACGTTCTCTAATGCTAACAGTTCCCCAACTCAGCCCTGTCCCCATTTCCATGCCCAGATGTGTGAGTAGACAAAAGTGCATTCTAAAGCGTTTCACGCTAATGCACCATTATCAAAAGCTGCCCTACAACACTCGTAAATCTTCACTTGCATCTGACTGCAAAGCTTTAATAGATATTTATGTGTGCTTCCATATGTGTGTGTGTATCTGTGTGTGTTTGTGTTGCGTTTGTAGTTGATCATAAATTATAATAAATTGTTGAACTATTAACAGCCAAACGAACTAAAAGCCCTAACTTGAGGCGCTTTAACAATACAAGAGCAACACATGTAATCTGAAAGCCAAGCCATTCTAGCCTGAGCATCTCATTGGCGGACATTATTCAAAATCTAGGCAAGCTACATCATACTATTGGGTAGCTATAGCCTTCAAATATATATCACTAAGTTGATTTGCTTAGGAATGCAAGCGTTAAGTACAGAGCTTAATATCGCCTATGCTGGTGCAAACTGATGCTTAAATAAGTAATTGAAAATACGACTTCATTACCAATGATGTGATACTAATGTATATTAGTTACCAGCTAGCAGCACATCAATTGAAGGACAATTGGTTAATTGTCTTCATAGCTCAACTTAATATTAAGAAAGTCCTTTGAAATTCATAGAATTGTTTTGATTTCCAGCGAAAACGCTTTTCACAGGGTATTTTTGAATCGAATGCCCAAATTTTCTGTGTATTTTGTTTTCTATTTGGACAGGAGGAAACCTTAAAAGCGAGCAACGCTTCAAATTTATGTGCTGCGGAAGTAGCGACTTTTAGTTTTTTCAGGTGCTAACAGCTACAGCAAAGCACTAAGGAAGCGTGCAGGTGAGTTGAGTTGAAGAAACCTCTCCAGGCGGCAAGCCAAATGCAATCCAAATGCGCTTTTCACTGGCTCAGGAAAAGTCGATTTAAAAGTCAGATCTCGCAGCTTTTTCGCTTTTTGTTTTTAATTCGTTTTCAGTTAATCTCACACTTAACCAAAGCGCATTTCACATGCAGTGCAATCAAATGAAGTCGCACCAAATAAAATAATTGAAAAGCAATTCAAGAGCTAATCGGATTTCCGATAGCGGCTTAATTCATCAATTCAGAGGTGCTAAAAGAAAGTGCACACTAGAAACTGCGATAGACTCACACTTGAGCACTTGCTAAGCCCACAGGTAGACATTTCACCAGTTCGTGTCAGGTGTAAAAATGATTTCCTCATTATGAGACGCAGCTTCCCTGCAGTGAAACACATTTCAACTGCGGTATAAGCTGCTAGTTCATATCGCAGCTTCCTCTAATCGTTGGCTTTAAACTGCTTAAAGACTCAACTGAGATCTCAATACTTTGCCAATTAAATATAATTCAAAACTCCAAATGAGTATTTTAAGTGCAGATTATCAATTTACTAACCATTTCACTAACAAAAATGTAGTTTTAAACATTTCGGTCCTTTGTTAGTGCACAAAGCGAGGCATGGCTCATGAGCTGTATGCGTTAGAGTTTTGATTGAGCATGCATATTTCTATACCCTGAGCCCATTGAAAATGCGAATTTAGGGTATATACGTTTTGTGAAAATGTTTGTCATAGGCAGAGAGAGACGTGACAAGCTTCCTGCTATAATTTCTTAACCATGCTTACGAACTGAGTAGACCCTTTCGTTCATCAACAGCCAGAAATTTTAAATTGAAAATGTTTATATCGTAAGTACAGTTTATCGTTCGTCGAAAGCTTATCACAATTAATTACAATCTAAAAAATTGATTATTTGATTTCGTTTCAAAAAAATTATTATATTATATTATTATATTATATTTTATATATTTTTGATTTTGGATAACTCCCCCATATCACCAAACTTAAAAAAAAAAATCTATTTCAAATTCTAATGACTTGTGCATTAGAATTTGTTTCCTCAGAATTAATTTCCCATAGAAAAGTTCAAACTTCAACCCAAGCGCAGCCAGTATCTAATCATTATGCTCAGAAGAAGCGTATGACAGAAATATCAGCCATCGCAGGCTTCAAGCTATGTAACAGTCGAGCAGTCTCGACTCGAGCACGCTTACTTCTTTTAAATAGCTATATGAGCCCTTCTATAATGCAAATCGTTAGGAATTGCACACAATTATGTAATCATAAATTCGCTCTTCCTATTGATTGAGATAGTATTGAGTGTGGGAACGCTTTTGTCCAGGTAACAGCGACAATTTCTCGCTTCCTGCTAGGCACACCAAAGCCCGCGCCCAACCCACCAGCCAGCCATCATTCTAGGGTATCTCCGGCAAATGTGCGTCGTGCTAAGTTTACTGCAATAGGCAGGAAATTTGCAGAAATTCCATTTTGATGCTGCGCCATTCGAATTTTGCATGCGTAATGATTTCGTTTTGCAGAGAGACCATCGCAGCGGCTGTTGCTATGCGGAATTTATCTATTGCGAATGAAAGGCGCGTGCCGCGCCATAGCCATAGCAATAGCCATTCAAATGGCATAAATAGGGATGGCGTTAATTTCACAATCCGACACAGCAAGCGGATGCTCATTTAAATTTATTTGCGGTTCGTTGTAGGGCTACATATATTGTTATATCTAGCTCTAGGGCTATTTAGGCAGTAAGGCATTTAGGCAAATATTTCCTTTTTGGAGCAGAGGGCTTTGTATTGTGCGTTGGCCCCAGTGGTGCAACCCACGGCGCGGAAATGATAGATCGGCCGACCACAGATATAATTCTCGGCATAGTTGCAGGTCAGCTTGAAATACGATATATCTTTCGACTCATATCGCAGCCCGGCGCAGCCAACATGCGTATTATTTTCGATGGCCATCACCGCAAAGTGGCGAAACGATCTGTCGCAATGGTTGAACGAATTAAGAAGCTAATTCAAAAGAAGCTGCTGGACACTTACTGATGTTGGTAGGGCTTTATAGCGGAGCATGGGTTGTGTTCCACATCTGCAGCTGTCATCATGCGACTGCTGTTGAGGTGCTCCGACCACCAAGTGCGAGCGCCGATGGTGATTAGCTGGGGATACATCTTCTCCATCAAGTCATCTTCCACCAGACGAGTCATGTTGAACATCTGAGCAAATCAACAATTTCTTATCAATCCTAAATCAAACTTGATCATACTTACAATGATGTTTTGGCCAGAGTTCTTGAAGTTGGCCGTGTTGTGGCAATCGTCGTGCTTTGCCTTGCACATGCGTACATTGTAGCTAGCCAACGTGGCCAACTCCTCGCTCCACTGCATCACAACCATGCGCGCGGCTCTTGGCAGAGTCATATTCCGGCCATTGCCTAAGCGCTGACGATACTCGTTGTGCGCCTTGAGAATATTGTCAACGTATTTGGTGAGATTCACTGACTCGCTCTTCTGAATATTGCACGCTTTGTTCACGTCCTACAATGCAGTCGAGTATACATAAGTAACTTATGAGCAGTACTTAGAGTCAACGCTTACCGCTGGCGGCTTCTCACAGGCAATATGACGCTTAGCCCGAGGACAGAGTTGAGGCAGGCAATAGGGATTATTGGGTCCTGTCGCTATCTCCTCCTGAGCAACTGCCAGAAGAAAGTACATTGCACAAAGCAATGCTGGGAACAAAATTAACACATTCATTTTGCTTCAGTTACTAAATGGAACAGTGACTAAACCACTTCTCGCTTAGCTGTTTTATAGGCGAACTACGCTGACATGAAGTGTGTTCAAAAGCAGTTGTCAGTTGTTTATTATTTACTAATTCACAAGTCTGTTTTAGTAGCTGATTAAGCTAATAGTACAATCATTTCCTGCCATCTCATTTGGCAAATGCTGTTGTCGGCAAGAAAGTTGACTTTGAATAACAGTTATAGCAGCTTAAAGCTTACTTAAACTATTCGTGTCTATAATGTGGGAAAATTATATTACAAATTCATATATATGAGCTTATGTATATTATTATGGATATGAATTTCAATTATGAAAGCATGAACATATTCGCTTTAATGTTAATTGTAGCAACGTATCTTAGTTGTGAGTATCATTCAACTAAGTAGCTTTTCGTATGCAGCAGTCAATCAAGTATATCTAAGTTATTTGATGAGATAGTTGATTGCAAAGTGTTTAATGTTTTAATCACTAATCATACTCATAATTTGCCGCAAATATTTGGAAAGCAAAATGTGCCACCGCAGACAAATTAAGTTTGTAAGTTACCAGCGAAGTGGTGCCACAATCTATGCTGATGTTGTTGCTATCTTATTAGCTGTCGATTTTAACGCTTGACTGCCTGAGCTGGCAGTATCGACGGTTACGCCTCTAGGTCTGTTCGAGGTTCAAAGGCCACAAGACTGTATTCGGAAACACTAAGTGACACTTCATGAATGTAAAGAGAAGCCAACAACATTTTCTCGGAAGCCTGCAATGCTAATAACTCAACATCGCACAATTGATTAAAGCAAAGGTCCTTGGCACAAGCCATTCAGCAGTCCAACCACCCAACCGTTCTGCCGCCCCGCCTTCTCCCTGCCTTGCCGACGTCTATAATAATTGTCTAACAACGGCAACTGATGCTCAGCAGCTGATTTGTCTAATTGGTTTTACCCAAGCCGGCTTAATTAGGCATGTCGGCTCGAGGAAGCCTGTTTCGCTATTGCCCCGGCCAGTCCACTGCCGACTTAAAGTTTCACAGTTACTCCATGGAAAGATAAATGTTAAAATTATGCATAATTATTCATATAGGGAAACTTGCGCGTGCACCCGTCAAGTTTTGGTTGCTTTGGCTTGTTTAGTAGGTTGTAAATTTTAATGCAAAAAAAGATAAACGAAGGGCACAACATTTTTGTGTGATTTATTGTTTGGGGCGAGTCATGTGAAGGGCCATGCATTAAACAACAGACAAGGGCCAGCCTCTGGACAGTCAGTGCCTCCCGGAAACCAGAAGCATAGCCGGAATCAGAAGTATTTGTAGCCGACGCCCGAGGCACGCGCTGCACCTGTTGCCTGTTCTTGCCCACCTCCCCCTCACCGTTTGCTAGCTTGTGCCATAAAGTCAGTTTGGTTGGCAAATTTATGGCTTAATACGTAACCTCGATACAATTTTTTCATACTTTGTATATAATTCATTTTTAATAGAGAAGCAAACGTGGATTGCTTTCAGCTTTGCAGTTTATGCTTTTCTTCTTTCGCTCTTCTTCTGACCTCACAAAATGTGCGAGTCGAAATGGCGCAGGGCTTCACTGTTATCGGGCGTTTAATCATGTTCACGTTGCGCATTTATAATGTCATTATCAAGTCAAAGTCAAAGGATGCAGATGTAGCTGCATTGAGTGCCCTCTGAGATCCTGGCAATGCATCTTCGCGTTTCCTCGAAATTGCCGCTGTCTGAATTTCACAATTGAATAATCAAGCTTAATGGCATTGTTGTAAAGGCCCTTTGTCTGAGCTGATTTATTGTTTGGACAGGTCGCAATAAATTAAATTGGCTTGCGCTAATATTTGCCTAATAAAATTGATGCAAACACATTGCGGATTTCTGGATACCCTTGTCAAAGGATTGGGCTTTAGTTTGACTTTGATCAGAGGCTGTCGCTGGCCCATCAATATGCACATAAAGTTTAATATTTCTCGCAATTCACCGAATCCTGTTACAATAAGCCTTAATTTTATGCAAATCTCGTCAAAGTAACCCACAATGTCTGTCTCCTGCCTCCCGAATCCCGCCGTGTGTCTTTCGCCTCCCGCGCTGGCTTCCGTGATGAGCTTAGCTCTCGCAATCCGCTCCGCAAGTCGTTCGAAAACTTTTTAAGCATCGCCGTGAAAAACTTGTTCGTGTCCTGCATGATAAAAATGTGTCAACTACGCTGAGATACTCTCAGCTTGAACTCAAAGCAACGAGAGCTTGTCCTAGTCGCAGCCTTATGAACTCCTCAGTCGTTAACATGAAAAACACAGTGCATTATCATCACAACTTTTAACTCTTTATTTCAAATCGCGTTCAGCTTAATACCTCTGTAACATAATTTAAATTAATTAACAACTTAAATGGACCAAAAGCACCCTCGCTAGACACATTCAAATAAACAACTTTAACACAACTATTAAATTATTATTTGAGTCTACAGAAAAGGTGCAATAATAGATTAATCACTTTATATAAGCGTAGGTTTCTGCGTTTTACCTTCAGTTGCACAGCTTAAATATACTTTTGCCCAACCTAAGTCCTCGCTTAGTTTGGACTCAGTTTTTAGGAATTGCATACATGGAATAGAGTACATGTATGCCTTGGCTCATTGCAGAAACTTAACCACATTTAGTTTAAAGCGTAATTATGTTAATATATGTTGCTTGGACCCCAAGCGCAATAAAATGAGAACTCTTTATTCATTTTTTCTCAGTTTTTGCTTTCATGCGCGAGCTTTAAAGCTGCGCGAAATATGCAAATTGTTGTGTTATTTGTCGCATTCAGCGTGGTGAAAGTATTTTTGTATGCGAGTGCATTGTTCTCGCACATATATTTTAGGCTAGCGCACATCAACACTTTTGAATACACACACACACACACAGACACATTCACATTCATGTACATAAGCAGCTGTGGCGTTATTTGGGTGAAGGCCGTACGTATGCCAAAAAGCAGCAACAACAAAGCAGGACTAAAAAAAGGAATACAACCAACACAACGCAAATCTGAAAATTAAATGCAATTTAGTGCAGCAAAGTGGCAACGCACACAAGTAAAGAAGCAAACAAACAAACAAACACTCACACGCACCGACACACATGCATGATGAGATGCCTGGACTCTGGAAAAATCAACACAAGCATCAGGTTTCATGTAAGTAGAGCAACAAACACAACAACACATGAGCAACCCCAATAAAAAGAAAACGTTTAACATTTTGCTTTTATCGAATTTGAATTCCACTTTGTAATGTTTCTTTTTCTCGTCTGTGCTCAGAAATTACACAATTCATTTTTGGCATAACATGTCAATTTGTATGCCTAATGCCAAACACTGGAGGTGGGGAGGATTGACGAAGGCAGCCAGCAAATTCGTGTTCTTTTCAAAATAGTAAACAAAATGTGCTAGCTTAGACGCGCTTACAATGCCATTAGGCTCAGCAGTCGAAAAGAGCAAAAGGGCTGCCAATGCCAATGGCAATAGCAATGCCAAATACCGATAAGAACCAAGTGATTGGAAAGGCATGCTTAAGATTTTGTATGAGAATGCTGCTCAGTTGCTGTTCAGCTTTGTAACACATTAAATATATATTTAACTCTTGATCACAATTAGATGAGTTGATAATTTATTGTGCGTTGCCTTTTGAATTGGATTACTACTGAATCAGCGTCATATTTACAAGAGTATTAGTGTGAGAAGAGATTGAGTTCTGAACTGAACGTCGACTATGACATATCCAACATTCAAAACACAAAACAGGCCTGGACTTGTGACATTGCATCAAAAATTCATTCAACTGCTTTCCGTTTGCGTGCAGGGTTTTTTATAAGCCCTTCGTCTTTCACAATCAGCGGGCAAAGCAAGCAGCCAAAGCTGAAAACCCGAATTGAAAATGCAAATCTTTGACAAAGCTCGAAAGTGCAAAGCAAACAATATAAATATTACGCTCCAGAAGCGACAATGCTCAAGTCTGAGGCTGAAGGCGAACTGAATAAATTGTAGCGCACTTTAGAGCTGTAATAATTGCAAAGCAGTTGGCAACAACTCTTAGCCGTTTACTTACCAGGTGAAAGTTTTGCGCTGCAGCTTCTCGGCAGCGTTCGTTTCTGGCTCTTCAGTCAGCTAATTGGCTAAATAAGTTCTGTTTAACTTGGCAAATTTTTAGAATGCTTGAATAATAACGAACACGCCACCAGTGGCCCGATGTGAAAGATAATTGCCATTTTATAGCGACAAGCATTGCGCAATGAGCCTCCAAATGTTGCCATAGTATACGTTCTATAATACGGCGCTATCTGACTCTTCGCTCTTGGCTCTCCGCTCTTCACAATGCCCATGCTCAAGTCCATTTTCCCGCTTCTATTGTGGCTTTGTGTGCGGCGAGTTTTTATTGCTTTTTTGCTTTGCCTTTGACACGATTGCTGCTTAATCTTTAGCGTTTACCAAAAATTATACCCCGAGGGCCATTACAAAATGAATTGCATTATGAGAACTGTCCGCAACGCGAAGATGCCCTAAAGCTTTAAGTCCGCTTTTCGCATACGCCTGCAAGTATGCAATATTCCAACACCAGCTTAAAACTTTAAACTAGCTAAGACTAATTTAAGCATACAGTGCACTACAAAGCTATAATTCGCCTGCTTGGCGAAGGTCGATGGTATACCAAATACTACCTTGATTACTGCTGCTGAGTACGTACCGAAACTGACCTTAAAATGCCACAATATGGAAATGGTATAAGCCAAGCCAAACCTCGATTACCAAATGCATTCTTTAGCCAAGGCCTGTAGGGCATTTGACTCAGCGCATCTGCCAAAGATCTATATAGATATAAATTAAATTTGATAGTTGTTTAGCCTAATTTTAGTTTTCTTGTTAACAAGTCAAATTTTTATATACATTGGGGTAAATCTGTCAATTATAAAGTGAAATATATTCTATAAGCGTTCTCAAACTTTAATAAGCTTAAA